TTTTTTCTTATAACTTGTTAACTTTCAGTTCTCTATAGAATTGAATGCTGTTTTATGAAAATTTATACGAACTAAAAACAAACGACCATTACTTTTGCATGAAGTGCGGGTTCGCGTCTTGCTAAAACACTGTAATGGTCTCTTGCTTTTATTTCGTATACAATTTCATTCAAAACACACCATTCAATTCTTATATTTACAGATTTTTGAAATTAAAAAAATTATATGTTATTCACATTTTAAATCTTAAAGTAAAACTTTAAACGCAAAACTTGACGGGCATTATTTAATGAGATAGAAGCAATATCGTTCAATGTGAATCAATTATAATGCGTCATATAGCTGAAATTGGCCTATGAAGATGTAGATTTCAAAGTACAGATTACTATTAGCTTATATATTTATCGAATTTAAATCATTACTGTTCATGTTAATTATGAGAAAATGATTGATTGTTAATATCTATTTTGTTTATCCATATTTATAAGATAATTATAATGTCAGTTACTTTTTTCAAATTAATAAAATTTGCGATTTTTTTTTAAAATCATAATCGTTTTCTAAAATTGCATGGACAATGCGAAAAGATAGTGTTGATTAATAAGGTAGGCAGTGCTAACAATTGTTTAATCGTGGGTTGCTTTCATACGGCATGGGTTGTTTTCATAAGAAATGTAAGCATTTGACGTAATCAAATAATTGTCTTTCAGTCAATATAAAGTAAAATCACAAAAATACTGAACTCCAAGGAAAATTCAAAAGGAAAGTCCCTAATCAAATGCTCAAACACATCAAACAACTGGATAACAACTGTCATATTCCTGACTTGGTACAGGCATTTTCTTATGTAGAAAATGGTGGATTGCACCTGGTTTTATAACTAGCTAAAAGATCAACATTTTTATGAATTCAACCATTTCTGTAAAAATAACATTTTGAAAATCTACTTGAACTGCATCAAGATTGTATTGCAGATGGGTTTTTTTTTAAGATACAGATTAAAAAATAGAAAGAAAAACATTTAAATGGCACAGTCTAGATTCCAAGAATGTGTATGGTATATTCATAGATACAAGGACGAAAGCTTTGTTTACTTACCAAAATGTATCAAGTTAAGATCCTCGACAAATGTGATGAACCATCGAACATCGACCATTTTATAATGCTAATTATAATGGATTGTAAGCGACAGGTAATGATTGAATACTTAAATTTTGCCCTAGTGGGATAATTTATTCGTGCTTCATTTACTTCTTATTTCATTAGTTAATTCTTCAAATGAGGTCATTAGTGTGACTTAAGCATCTAAATATTTTTTTTTTATTAATAAATCTAAATGACCAATAATAATTTATCAAAAGGTAAAACATATATTGCATTTATAGCACGTATACGGATTAAAGACGACGTTTGACGTTTTTATTAACACAATGTGTTTTCCTAAGTTTAAAGGTAAATTCTTTTCAATTACATCATTATTAACGCATGACAATTAACTTCTGGAAATAAACGTGATTGGAGAATTAATACTTTTTAAAGAACGTAAACATTGATAAACAAGGATGCTTTAACTAAAGAATTGACATGTATTTTTCCCTTGTTATTTTTCCAATTGGAAAGATTACAACAACAAAAACAAGAAAACAAAAGATTGCGCACTAATGAAATGCGTACAATTATAAAAGATATAGATAAAAGTAGGTATGGAATATATACGTTAATGTGTCAGAAACCAAACAATACATAAGAGAAAGCCACCTAGAAGGTTTCAAAACTTGTAAATGTCATAACCATATGGCAAACTCCAGATCTAGTAGTACTGCAATAAATTCCAAAAGAGACAACCAAAACACTCCAAATAATTCAAAAGTTCTCAACAAAAAGAAACACCAATTATATAAAGTTCCTTCGCTAGTATAAAATAAGGAGATGTGCTATGATCTCCAATGAGTCCAACTATCTTCCAGAAACAAAATGACGTAGATGTTAGCAACTATAGGTCACCGTACGTCTTTCAACAATGAACAAAACCTATACCGCATAGCAAGCTATACAAGTTCTCCCCTTCCCCCTGACATGACAAAATTTTAAACTATTCAAATAAGAAAACCAAAGGTCTGCTTCATGTACAAAACTACAAACGAAAAACAAGTATGATATACAGTATTAAACGACAACTGTTACCAATGAAATGCAGGATCCCGATAGGGACAGCCACATGCTGAATGTGGCGGGTTAAACAAAAGTGCGGACGCCCAACCCTCCTAACCAGGGACAGTGGTGTAACAGCACAACATACGAACAAATAATAAAATCAGTTGAAAAGGGCTAGACTCATCAGATCGATACACCACACAAAGCATCAATCTGAGGATACTCGCAGTAACTGAAAACTAGTTTTACCCTTCCGGAGCACCTGAGATCACCCCCGGTTTTTGTTGGGGTTCGTGTTGCTCAGTCTTTAGTTTACTATGTTGTGCTTTGTGTTATGTGTACTGTTGTTTGTCTGTTTGTCTTTTTCTTTTTTTGACGGGCGTTGTCATTCTATTTTCGACTTATGAGTTTGAATGTCCCTTTGGTATTGTTCGCCTCTTTTAAAACCAAAAATAACTAATAATACAAATTATGTATCCCAGACAAAATAACAAGTTGATAAACTTATCACGTGTTAACAAAGATTTTAAGACAATGGCACAATATACAATATTAAAGAGATATCTGTATTGGCATCAGATAACAGCAACATGAAAATAACACTTAATGCATTTCATTTAACTAAGTATGATATACTTAAAGATCAAAGACAGGAACTAACTATAAAGACTATTTCATTTGCAGATTATTGTAACAATTATAGAATAACTTATTCAAGGATTCGAAAATTATTAAACGAGCGACCGAATAAGACATATTAATCATAGATTATCACGGTTGTTTGGTCACGAGTTGAATACATTTCGATATTTAAATTTTTTATTCATGGACCTTAAGGGCATACGATACAGCTACAGGGGAGGTAATGACGTTGTTCACGTAAAATGTTATTTTTTACGACGTCAAATTGTGACAGATCGGGAAAAGATGCATTTTCTAGTGAATTTAATCATTAGCTTAAAAACCAGCACATGGACACCTCTTTTTACAAATGACATTTGGCTTGACTATATATTTGAAGAATAGTTGTTCCAATTTTTATGAAAAAATCACCGATGATTTTTTTTAAATTAGATATATATACAGCAAAAAATGCCGGTTTTTTCCTAAATAAAGGCAACAGTTATATACCGCTGTTCAATAGTCATAAATCGATTTAACTGAAACAAATCCGGGTCACAAACAAAAACCGAGGGAGTCACATCAACTATAAGAGGAAAACAACGGAACAACAGAAACACTGAACTGCTACAAAAACAAATGCCAACATACATAGAAACGGACTATTTGATAGCAACTGCGGTTTTTTCCTAACATTATGTAAATTTTATAAAATTTAATTATTTCCAAAGAATTGTTGCACAAATTTAGAGCATTACTTTTGTAAAAAAAAGATATTCCTAATCTTTTTACAAAAATCCGCATGTGTTTATCTTTTGAAACAAAAAAGTTAAGTATGTCTGTCCAAATGATAGAAATGACCAAGAAACCAAAATTTTTAGTAAATGTCTAAATTTCGACTCCATTTATCTCTAAATGTAGCACATGAAGGTAAAATTTATATTACATATTTGAATTGACTGGGTGAAAAATAGCTTGTATGCAAATGTTCGTAAAAAAATCACCGTGGGGTCAAAATAAATAATGTTAGCTTCGTTTTGAAGTCAACATTTAGGTTTAGTCTGTGGTAAAAAAAAATTTTAAATTGTCAAACCTTCATGGAATGTTAGGAAATTAGGACAGAAGCTTGTTTATGACCAAAAGACAGTATCCAGGGCAAAATTTTGAAAATATTCATTTTCATTTTTCAGTATTTTACAGATAAATGGACTAAATTTGTTTGTACAGATAACAAGTAGATACAGTCTGAGGTTAAAGTTCTTCAGTCATCCATTTCTTTATTAACCTTTCATGGAATTTTAGGAAATTTGGACAGAAGCTTAGTTATGACCAAAATACAGTATTCAGTGCAAAGTTTTTTAAATATTCATTTTCATTTTTCCGAATTAAACTGATAAATGGACTTTTTTTTTTTTACATTTTACAAATAGATACAGTCTGGGGTTAAAGTTTGTTACACATAAATTACTTTATCAGACCTTCATAGAATTTTATGAAACGTTGGCAGAAGCTTTTTTATGATTAAGAGATAATGTCTGAAGCAAACTTTTGAAAATATATTATTTTTTTCATTTTCAGTATTTTTCTGGTAGATGGACTTAGTTTTTTACAGTTAACATTTAGTCTGAGATTAACTGTTTTGACCTGATAAATTTGTATACCTTCATGAATTGTTATGAAACTTGGACTGAAGTTGATTTTCAAGATCATAAACTAGCACCTAAAGAAAAAGTTTGAAGTCTATATTTTGCTGATAAATGTACTCACTTTTTAAGTCAACACTACACTTTTACACTGACAGTAGCAATCGCACGCGAGACACAGGGTTCTGCGGGTCCCTAACGAATTTTGACAGTTTTCTAATGCTACATTGTTACGCCAATATACCAGGTTAGTCCGAGCACATTTAACCACACCACATTGTCATGTTCCTGAACCAAGCCAGTAGCATGTAGTCTAGTGGTTGTCATTGGTTGTCGTCTGTCATATCTACATTTTCGTTTCATGTTGTTTATTAGCTTATTATGAAAGTATTGGTGGGTGAACAGATTTGGAAATATTAAGAGAGTCTATATAGTTAGTGAACAAGCTTAACATGTTTAAATCAGAATATTTAGAAGACTAAATGGTGAATACAAGAATAATGTTAAATATATATCTCCATAATATGATGAATAATATTACAAGGATATGCATCTATATCATTGTCAAAGTGATAAAGTATGTGGTCATAAATAGCTTTATTGAGCTTCAAAAATAAAAAAAATATATCACATGATTGATTTATAAATATACATATATGTCTGTTATACACTTAACTCAGAAATGTATGCATAACTGTAGAGGGATTGTTCTTTAAATCACCATTAATGCCAGTATATATGATTCCCTGAAAATATTCAAAAGACAACCATTATACATACAAATAAAATAAAATAAATGAACAACTTTCACTAAGACTAGATGAACGATTACTGACGATACGTATTGGTAAAAAAAGAGAGTTATTTTCTTGCAAGAAGATCGATGTTTACTGTTAATGATGTGGCCGTCTTGACCTTGTTGTAGGGTATGAATGATTCGTTCATTGTTGAAGACCCTACATCAACTGCCAAGATGAAGAACAGGAATAAAAGCCCTGTTCATTGATAATTTTCTATGTTTTCTATGTATTGTGTGCGATTTTGTCCCATGTACATTTACTCCATATCCTTTAATTTCTATTGGTATCTTATTTGTTATATAAAATATTATGTAACTTATAAATCTACACATATTTTGTTATAATTTATCACAATGATTTATACAGAAAATCATTAAATGATTGATTGTAATTTTTAAATTTACATCGTAGAAATGATTTCGGTATATACATGTCTAAACTATGTGGTTTAAACACATCGCTTCTTTTAGATCTTTTAAAGATGCTTCGTCATTTGTCATTATATTAAGTTGCAGGAATAGCAGCCGGACCAGGAAAAAGTAGGGTAAATTTATACACATAGCACAAAGATGTGTGATTGATTACTGCTTTCTATATGTCATGACATATCGTCGTGTTGGCCTTTGGCTGTCAACTTATTATTTTTTAAAGCAAGAAATCATGTGATGGTTTGAAACATAACACGAATAAAGACAACAATGAAATAATTAGTTAAACGACTAATTACTGTCTTTCATCTTGTCTCGAGTGCTTACGTGATCTTTGATAGCTAAGAGTCATAATGACTTCTTTAACCGGCTCTGCAATGCCAGAGTAATCTTCACATATTGGTTTTTGTTTGTTTGATATAGATAAAAAGATGGGGGAAATAAGAGATAGTTTACTATAAAAGTTTTGTAGTACTTTATGCAACTGACTTCAGTGTCAAGGTGTTAATCTAATGCTCTTCTAACGTTTGGTTCTAAGCTTGACATGATTGCAATAATGCAATGGCCGTAAAGAAAACGTAAGGAGTTATGACTTTTGTCTCTGAAATTCAAAATTGCGAAATATTCATAATAGAAGTATTTTTAATAGATAATGTTTAATTTGTAAATTATGTAGAAACGAAGTGTTTATGTGCGTATGATCTTCAACTTCAACGCGCGTCTGACATACCCAATTATTATCCAGGTATATTTGAATTGTTTTAGATACTCAAGAATTATAGCGAGAAAAGCATTCTCTAGATTTTTCAAATGAAATGCACGACAAATACAAAAGAGATAATCTGATCCTGAAATGTGTTGTCGGAAGGGTATTTGAGATACGTATTTTCAAAGAATATTACAAAAAACTGGGCTTTGGTGGAAAATAAATTGGATTTACTACGTAAGGAAAAGAAGGGTAAGTAAAGAAAACTTGAAAGGGAGATTAAAAGGGAATTTAATTGGCGAACATTTCTAATTCTATACTTTCTATTTTCTATAGCAGAAAGTTACACTATCTAATTATGACTTCTGTTTGTAGCCTCCTCCAATTCGTCCATTTCAAACTGGAAGATTGATCCCGATGGTGTATACTTGTGATAAATCTATCATATCAATATGACCAAGATAATTACCGTTATTTGTTTAGTCATCATAGAAGCTATCATCGTCATCAGAATCTCCCCGGTACATCATGCGGTATCTCCACAGGTTTCTGCGGTAATTATTAAACCTTGGCACCCAGGATTGAACCAAGGCTGCCATGTATATAACTAACAACAGTAAAAACAGACACTTTGCGATGGTCATAGCTATTCAAATAGTAGCTCTGAAAAACAAAAAAATAATACAGATGGTTTTACATGCTATTTCAACTACAAGTCAAAGAAGTAAATGATTATGTCTATTATAGACATAAAAGTAAACAGGAAAAACTCGTCCTTTGTACTAAAGTCTAAAGTATACGGGAAAAAAACCAGGAATATCATATTTTTGAACATTTTAAGGTGTCTTTCGTAAATAAAAACATGCTTCTATATATATCATTATGTTGTTTACACACATTTCTGCATTAAAATGAATAAAACACTTTAACAAGTTGGTGCGTCCGAAGCGATTTTCATCAGGAACGTTCAAAACCAAAACTTAAAAGCAGGTAAAGTATAAATACTTTAGGTGCTATATGACCAAAAGGGTCCCAAATATAAAACCATATAGAGTTAACGTTACATAAGGGAGTAGGAACCTTAGTAGTTTATTAAATTCAACAGCAGAAACCTGAACAAGGAGTTAGTCAATATTACGAAAATATCATAGATAATTGCTTTTTATATATTCTTTAATTGGCGAAATGGGACTTCTTTGGAACTCTAGTTTGCAATCATTTTAGTCCTTATATTTTTTAAACTCTTTTTTGTTCAGGAATAAGCTAATATCTGTTTTTTCTAAAATATTGAATCGAATATAAAATATTTTTCTAAGCGATTTGTTTATATATATTTTCGCGATGCTTACGAACATTCCTGATTTTCAGCGATAAACAGTAAAGAATTACTTTTTTCTAACTTATAACTTGTTAATTTTCAGTTTTTTATAGAATTAAATGCTGTTTTATGAAAATTTATACGAACTAAAAACAAATGACCATTTCTTTTGCATGAAGCGCGGAATCGCGTCTTTAAAAAAAAATGTAATGGTCACCTGCTTTCATTTCGTATAAAATTTTATCAAAAACACACCATTCAATTCTTATATTTACAGATTTTCGAAATTAAAAAAATCATGTTATTCACATTTTGAATCGTAAAGTAAAACTTTAACACAAACTTGACGGACATTGTTTAAGGAGATAGATGCAGTATCATTCCATGTGAATGAATTAAAATGCGTCATATAACTGAAATTGGCCTATGACGATGTAGACTTCAAAGTCGATACTATTAGCTTACATTTTTTTAATTCCAATAATTATTTTTCATGTTATTCATGAGAGAATGATTGATTGTTAATATTTATTTAATTTATCCATATTTACAAGATATAATGTCAATTGCTTTTTTTCAAATTAATAAAATTCACTATTTTTTAAAAATCATAATAGTTTGCAGAAAGTACACCGACAATGCGAAAAAATAGTGTTGATTAATAAGGTAGGCGGTGTTAGCAATTCTATCATCTTCGGTTGCTTTCATACGGCATGGATTGTTTTCATAAGAAATGCAAGAATTTGATCGAATCAAATGATTCGTCTCTCAGTCAATAAAAGATCAAAATTTGTATGAATTGAAACCCTACTGTAAAAATAACACTTAAAAAATCTACTTAAACTTGTATCAAGCAGTGTATTGCAGATATTTTTTTTTAAACAGTATGAAAAAAAAGAAAAGAAAAACATTTAAGAGACAAGGACAGTCTAGATTCCAAGATTTTGTATGGTACATCTGTATATTTGTAGATGCAAGGACGAAAGCTTGTTTACTTACCAAAGTGTATCAAGTTAAGATCCTCGACAAATGTGATGAACCATCGAACATTAACTATTTTATAGTGCTAATTTTGCGACAAGTAATGATTGAATACTTAAATTTAGCCGTAGTGGGATAATTTATTCGTGCTTCATGTAAATATAGAATTCATAACAGAATGACATTTTAACTTCTTATTCCATTTGTTAATTCGTCAAATGAGGTCATTAGTGTGACTAAAGCATCTAAATCATATTTTTTTTTACTAATATATCTAAATAACCAATAATAATTTATCAAAAGGTAAAACATATATTGCATTTATAGCACGTATACGGGTTAAAGACAACGTTTGACAGGGAATTTCTTAACACAATGTGCTTTCCCAAATTATAAGGTAAATTCTTCAATTACATCATCATAAACGCATGACTATAAACTTCTGGAAATAAACGTGATTGGAGAATTAATACTTTTTAACAAAAGTAAACATTGATATACAAGGATGCCTTAACTAAAGAATTGACAAGTATTTTTCCCTTGCTAGTTTTCCAATTGGAAAAATTACAACAAAAAACAAGAAAACAAAAGAATGCGTACAATTATAAAAGATATGGATAAAAGTAGATATTTCAGCAACCAAACAACACATAAAAGACAGCCATGTAGATTTTTTCTAAATGTCAAAACCATATGTCAAACTCCAAATCTAGTAATACTGCAATAAATTCCAACAGAGACGACCAAAACACTATAAATAACTCAAAAGTTCTCATGACAATAAAAAGAAACACCAATCATAACAAGTTCCTTTGCTAGTATAAAATAACTGGTATGATCGCCAATGGGATCCCGCTAACATGTTTAACACCGCCACATTCTGTATGTATGTGCCTGTCCCAAGTTAGGAGCCTGTAATTCAGTGGTTGTCGTTTGTTTATGTGTTACATATTTGTTTTTCGTTCATTTTTTGTACATAAATTAGGCCGTTAGTTTTCTCGTTTGAATTGTTTTACATTGTCATTTCGGGGCCTTTTATGGCTGACTGTGCGGTATGGGCCTTACTCATTGTTGAAGGCCGTACGGTGACCTATAGTTGTTAATTTCTGTGTCATTTGGTCTTTTGTGGAGAGTTGTCTCATTGGCAATCATACCACATCTTCTTTTTTATACAACTATCTACCAGAGACCAAATGACATAAGCAACTATAGGTCATGTAAGTAAGTAAGTAAATTTTATTTAGAGTCAGACATGATATGTACAAATTAACATACTAGAGCTCTTAACCAACTTGATATTTAAAAAAAAAAATAATAACAAATTATAAGCATATTATACAGAATACACAGCACGCAAATAAATAAAACACCGGCATAATATAATAGATAAGCAACATGCATAAATCAAAGCAAACAAGCTACAAAAACACCTTTTACTATAGCTGACAGAGACAAAAGCATTATAAAATAATTGAAATAAAAGCAAACAATAACTAGAACACTGAAGGCTAGAATACTTTAGCTGTGGGACAGCAAAGTTATTGTCTATATAAGCTACAGAAGCAAATTTTTGCTTCGTTTTGAAGCACATTCGTTTACATCTTCATAGGCGGATCCAGGGGGGGGGGGGGCCTGGGGGGCCCGGGCCCCCCCTTTTGTGGGAATAATTTGGTTGATTATATAGGGAATCACTGAAGCATGACTGGAGCGGGCCCCCCCTAGGTCAGTCAGCGCCCCCCCCCCCCCCCCTCCCCCTTATGAAAAGTTCTGGATCCGCCACTGATCTTAAACACACTTTTTGATGGATAGTCTTATTTGATTATCTATCATAACACATATTCTTCTTTTTATATTATATGAAACACCAGTGTAATGAAAAAAGGACTTCTGATGATTTTATAAATAATTAGCAGATTACAGGAGCGGATTAAGAAAACTCAATATTGAAAAAAAAAACTAACCTAGTCAGGCCCTTTCAACCCTTTTTCACAGTGTGTCTTATGTTGTGCTGTTACGTCAATGTCCAAGGTAAGGGTGAATTGAACGCTTTCAACCATGTTTGACCCGCCACATTCTGTTTGTGCATGAACCATGCCAAGAGACTGTAGTCTTTGTCGTAGGTTGCCATATTTTCGTTTCATATCATTTATTAGCTTTAATCAGGTTGTTTGTTTTCTCTGTTGTTCAGTTCGACATTTCGTTATTCCGTACACGCACGTTTATAGCTTACTATATATACGGTTTGTATTTTGCTAATTTTTTAGGTCAGTACGGTTACCTGCAGTTATTCGCATCATTGTTCGTGTGTCTTTTGATGGATAGTTGTGATAGCCCTCGAATCAAATGGAAAAATGTTATAGCCCTCGAATCAAATGAAAAAAAATGATAGCCCTCGAATCAAACGTAAAAAGTGATAGCCCTTGAATCAAATAAAACAATTGATAGCCCTCGAATCAAAATAAAAAAATGATAGTCCTCAAATCAAACGAAAAAAGTGATAGCCCTCAATTCAAATAAAAAAAAGGTGATATATCGAAGTATCTTGGTATTTATGATAATTGCAAAAACAGGTCTTCAAGGATTGGCAAATAATATATAAATAATCTACATTAAACGTCATGTTGTTTTGAAAAACAATAATATTCTACTATATCTGTCGAATTAGAATTACTATGGCATATTATGTACAATAGAGAAAAGACAATATTCGATAAAGTGTTTAACAGATTTCTATAGTAAGTTTGTAAAATGTTGAAAGTCGAACTAGATAAAATGGAAAGGACACACGTGAGACAGACACACGTGTACAAAAAAATCTCTTGATATCGCCTTACAGCTTTTATCGATCGAAAAGTACAAAAAATCGTATTACAAACTCTGTAAAGAAATGCTGTGATCAATTTATACTTATTTACGTAACGTCCAGTGAATAATATTTCATACTTTTAAAGAACGAGAACAAATCAAATGATGAATTAATTAAATAGGTTCACAAAAGAGATACGAAAATCGTTTTTAACCATCAACAAGCATCATGATATGTACTTCAAACCGATTAGACAAGATTTAAAACGTTAAATATGTGGTTCCAATAACCTCGGTGGTCTTGTGGTAGCGTGCTCGTCTCGATAGCGGAATGTCGTGGGTTGGATGCCTGGTCGGGTCTAGCCAAGTCTTAAAAATTGGATTTTAATGCTTCTCCTATTAGAACGCGGTATTTAGGAGAAAGAGAATACTGGTCGGCTCGGAGTCAGAATAATGTGTCCGGATGGGGTTACTTGTCTTCCTACGGACTGATACACTGTGAACGAACATGATACCAATCTAGCTCAGCTTTTTAATCTAGTAAAAGGTTCTTATTTATTATATATATATTCATGTTCCCAATATTTACCACTGGACGTTAAACGCCAATTCATCTTCATCATTCAATGTTGTTTTTGTTTACTACTGCTATAAATGTATTAGTGATAACGCACCCGTAATACAGTCAGTGCAACAGCTGGTGTAATATCTAGAATGTGCACTCTTGGTATCTATGACAATTCAATACGTAAATGGTAAATTTCAGTATATTTTACAAAATTACCAAAAAGTTATCGAAATTAAAGCAATGTTATGCCAGTACGCAAACACAGCATATTAATAAATGCATTCTGAAAATTAACTTCATATCAGTAGTGCACCAAATAAAAAAAAATAAAACGGTAAGTGCCAAACGCTGAGGAGGGACGTTTTGTTTTCGCACATCCACGTTTGGTACTTTTTATCAAAACATGCTTAGCCCACCAAACCCAGCAAATGGAACACTTGTGTATCCGGGAGATAACTTAGAATTTAACAAATTGGTATCTGCTGTGAGCTGAACATTACTCTGTTGTCAAAAGCAAATCAAAAGTACATTTCGCTTTACATACATGTATAATAATTTAACCCAAACCACATGTATTCTAAAACAATCCCATTACAGTCTACATACATGTATAGTTTAACCACACGCATTAACTATTCAGTAACTTATGACAGATTTTATAAAAAAAAGTCATAAAAGTGGCAAAAATGACATAACTACATAATAAATGCCAAACATGCATATGCAAATATACCACAAAAAGGAAGGATTCATCTGCATGCAAAATTATAACTCTGATCGTTTTAAGTTAGTATGATTTAAAGACTATCGAATAAATCATTCTTCATCTACATGTATTATATAAAATATTTTGAAATTAAACATCGTAATAATGGACTCCAAAGCTAGTCTTATAGACAAACATCGTAATAATGGACTCCAAATCTAGTCTTATAGACAAACATCGTAATAATGGACTCCAAATCTAGTCTTATAGACAAACATCGTAATAATGGACTCCAAATCTAGTCTTATAGACAAACATCGTAATAATGGACTCCAAATCTAGTCTTATAGACAAACATCGTAATAATGGACTCCAAATCTAGTCTTATAGACAAACATCGTAATAATGGACTCCAAATCTAGTCTTATAGACAAACATCGTAATAATGGACTCCAAATCTAGTCTTATAGACAAACATCGTAATAATGGACTAAAAATCTAGTCTTATAGACAAACATCGTAATAATGGACTCCAAATCTAGTCTTATAGACAAACACTGTATTCATGCTAGCTTGAGTGTTAAAAAAGAGAGGCGAAAAATACCAAAGGGACATCCAAACTCATAAGTAGAAAATAAACTGACAACACCATGGTTAAAAAAAGAAAAAAAAAGACTAACAGACAAACAACAGTACACAAAACACAACATAGAAAACTAAAGACTGAGCAACACGAACCCCACAAAAAACTGGGGGGGGGGGGGGGGATCTCAAGTGCTCCGGAAGGGTAAGTAGATCCTGCTCCACACGTGGCACCGTCGTGTTGCTGATGTCAATACAAACTTTTTTTACTTTCCAAAGTCTTCCACTAAAATTGTGTTGCATTTGTCTACTGGGGATGTTCATACATTGATGAAGTGAAATGTTTTGTTTTTTTTTTGTTCAAGAAAACTCTACATGTCAGTCTTATATATTCCAGCAGTAAAGATACTGATAAGTCACAAATCTTTAAAAATTTCCTTAAAACAAATTGATTGGAAAGCCGTTGATTTGTGGAGTATAA